ATGGAGAAGGAATATAATTATATACAATGCAAGTTTATGGATTTGTACACAACTAAGGACTTCAACAATAGGAACCTAGAAGCGAAGGAGAAGAGATGCTTGACCATACTTCATAATCAAAAGACAACTATAAACAAAAAAAGTAAATGTATCTCTGTGGAAGAGACAGAAGCAAGAGGTATTTCTGACAAAAAACAGGAGGGTGTAAGACTACTGTGTACAAGTCTATCGCCTACTTTTCAGGAACTATGCATTCAATCCGAAAGACGAGCAGAGTATAGAGAGACCATAAGGCAGAAGGAAACAAGTACATTTCCAAATCCTTTCTAGCTCTGAGAAAATTATGTAGTTCACACGAAGGAAAGTAGTAGAGTATAAAAATACTAACTGCAGCAGTACTGTAGTCATATTAGTACATACAGACTGAGATCTGATTTTTTCTGTACAATAGAAAAATCAAGATATTTGAACTAGAAGGATTATTGACACACATTTATTTTCCCTGTCTTTCAATAGGAATCTTACTGACCACTAGAAACACATTTCAATTCTCACGTCTCTGACGTCTGTAAGTTTTTTCTTCGCTGTGTAACTTGTTCTTTCAGTTCCTATGGAAAGTGGTTCTTATAACTTTAGTTTGCTCTCTGCATAAAAGTAAGTCTCATCCTCAATGTACAGTTTAATTCAGTGTGCTTATCCTTTCCAGGCTTGTTCATCTATGATATATTCCTTAAAGACTCCTTGTGATATTTTATGTATTTGGGAGATTAAAAAAACCACAAAACACACACAAGAAACAAATGACATTTTTCAAGACCTAGGACTACTTTTATAGTTGCCTGATAGCATTTACCAAATGCATGCTTTAATCAATGATAATTACATATTTTACATTCAGCATTTCATCCAGAACAGTAAAAGCTGATAATTTCTTATTTTACCTGAGGTATTTCTATTTATTTTAATTTACATCTAATTCCCACTGTTATGTATCCTAGTACCCTGTTTGCTTTCATGTTTCATCTTGCTAGAATTTACTATTACTACTAGAACAATTTCTTAATTTTTATTCTATTTCTGCTCCATCAAGCACATACTTTTATAATTTATTTGTTCAACTCAAAAGCTCGAGTTTATGTTTTGAAATACTGATTTCCATTTAGGACTCATTTTCTCCCTTCCTCCATCAATTGATAATAGTCTGAAATTTATTGACTTCTTCAGCTGTATCAATAGCATTTTCTGTTCAGTAGTGTCAGCAAATTGTAAATACCCAACAAAATCTTGCTCTCACTATAGAATCGCACACATTAATTTAGTCCTGGTACTGAAGGGAGACTGAATGACCTCAATGCGTTAGCTTTACTTTGGCTTGAGACAATAAACCAAAGTCTTCTACGCTTTTCTTCAAACCCAATAAAGTCTTAAAACTTTGATAAGTGTTCCTCCTGACCTTTATGATAAAATTCAGGAAAATCAACATACATACTCTCAAGTATATGTATAACTTCTTGGGGAACTTTGTTTTGTGCCATAAATTCTATGCCCTGTATGTTGGTGTCAAGCAGTTCTGTTTTATAGTATGTGCTAATGTTTTTCCTCGTATTTATGGTTAAAAAATAAAACAGTTGTCATAAACAAGGCAAAGACAAGGAAAAAATTATTTGTCTCAGCAAAACAGAGTCAAGAGTCAGTCTGCTCCTTCTGCAATCCTAACAATAACCAGGTATGGTCTTTTATCCTCACTTAAGAGAGGAAAAAAAAACTATAAAAACACATTTTCACCCTGTCTTCCACACAAACTATTTCGTCTTTGAGACCTCTTTACATAAAATCATTCTTGGAATGCAAGTGTTGGCTACTGACGTCTTGATCCAGTAATTTGAATCTGCAGGCGATTTTCAGAGAAACCCATTTGACAATAACATTATTTTCATCATAGTTCAATTCATAACACCAGCATGTATTGATTTCACAATTATTTTTCCTATTTGCCTTCTGCATATACAGTGAAATTCAAGAAAGAGTATGTATCAACCACAAATGCCAATGACATTTAATAGCTGTGCTCATTTCAAAGCTGCAAAATTGATCATCTTCTGTGATCCTCTCCTTCTTCATCTCTTTGTCACTTCTGGCATTCAAGAGTAACAGAAAATGGGCCACCAATAGCAGAGACCAGTCTAGGGCAAGCTAGAATCCAAAAAATTGTTGATGCACTTGTGTCATCTACTTGATTTAAGGATGGATTTTACTATCACTATTTATCTTTAATGTTTTTCAAAGGAATAGTCAAGCCTCCTTTCACAAATAGGCATTTCAGCTCCAGCTGTTCGTTAGAGCCCATTACCTGTGATGCTATAACTTACCAATATGCTGTTAGTTCAGTGCAATGCCTTTTTCAAAAGGTATATTTTCTTGTCATTGAGGAGATCAAAGTGCTAAAATAAAACAAAACAAAGGACATGGGGGGCTAAATGCTAAGGTGATATTTTTTAGATTATTTTTTAAGAGGTTTGGTTTTTATCATAGTCACAGGGAGGGTATAATTGTCATTAATCCTTGTTCTAGCAAAAGGTACATCTCTTTCCATTTCCAAAGGTGACAGAAAACCTGTCCTCCATCTAGGCAGAATAGTTTCATGAATAATTGGTTTGCACATTCAATCCGATAGTGGAAAGATTAATATGAATATCCTGCTTATCTTAAATGTAAAATGAAAAAATTAAATCTGCTTCTAGGTTGAGCTTCTTTTTTTTTTCTCTTTTTAATAGTTTCATTGTCTCACATTCCTTCTGGTAAAACTTCATCATTTATTCAGCAACTCAGGGCGTCTCCAATGCATTAATTGTGCAGACTGTAACCTACCAGACAGCCCTTGTTTTGTGAGTATAATATTCCTGGCACATACTGTAATTATCTAACTTCTAAATAAGAAAGAAGAAAGACCTGAAAGCAGAATCAATTGATTAATGTAAAAATTAAGCACCACATTTGAATGAATGTCTTTTATCACCACTACCCCGTGCTATGTAAGCAGTTGTGCGGTCACCGCATTTAAAAATCTTATAAAATATTTTAAATAAGGTTTTAAAATCCATGTGCAAAACATCATGGTTTCAAAGCACATCATCAATAGTAATTAATTCACAATCCCAAGACACAGATAAGCAACTCTTACTGCTTATCTTCTGGTTGTTCTATCCATAGCATACACCTAACACGGACTGGTATCGTTCTTAGCTGACAACTAGCAAACAGACCACGCATCAGTTTTACAATGTGGAAGACAATGGGAGAGCATTTTCTCTGAGATTACCAGATTATGTCTTTTCTGAAAGTAAATTAGGCAAAACAGGGCTTTTGTTTGTCTTAAACAAATTAGAGTTCTAAATATCATGCTAACAGAGAGCACAGAGAGAAAAAAAAAAGAGGCAATGCAATGAAGTTAAGCTGATTTAATCAAGATCAGAGGTTGATCTTAGACCTTGAAATGAACTTCTTTCAATGAAAATGGTCTGTAAATAGTGCATATTTGATTTCTTAAAGTCTAATTGAAAATTTCCTTTAGTTCAAATACTTGTATGTGTTATGAAGACAGGAAAAGTATGTGTTATGAAGACAGGAAAAGTATTCCTGCAAGAAGAAGCAATAAGACAAACACACAGAGCTCACATTGTTTCTGTATTGATGGTAAGATTTTTACATTTCCACAGGAATAGCAAAATTAACTTATGATCCAATCTTATGATACTAGTCTAATGCCACATGGTAACTAAACCATTCCTCTCATACGAAGCTATAACTTTTACTTTTAATAAAGCCATTTTCTTGTGTAGAAGACAAACTGTCTGCAGGAGGACAGCTAAAGAGGTGCATCATCTATATAATAGATAAATACATAAGTAATTTCTTCCCTATTATAATATATAAAAGAAATGAGGGTTGCTATCTCCTCTTTCATCTTAGAAGAAAAAAGGTCCTGCTTTCATGTATCAGTTCAGCTGTTTAATGAGAAGCAGAATATATACTTTTCCTCTTTTTTTTTCAGGCTGCCTATATGTCCCAGAATATTCGTGTTGTTTGCTGAAGCTGTATTAAGGATAAGCAACTTCAGCTTTCTCATTATGCTTTTCTTATGACAGCCATGGAAAGACTCAGTATAATCTCATCACCTTGTATTCATCGGACTACTAAAAGCTCTGGCTTAGATTTCTCTTGGCCTACCAAGTATTAATTTAAACCACTGCAGTCACCAATGTGCAAAGTTTTGGTGTATCCTTTTAGCGGGACTAAACGCTCTTTTGAGTGCAAAAATCATTATATTAAAATCAGTCCTTATTGTAGAAAAGTTGGAGAACTCATGGCTGAGGCTATTGGGAAACAGTCAGTAAGAGCTGAAGAATAATAATACGAGTCATGGGGACAGAGGAGCAGCAAGAGCAGAGGGGTGTGTGGAGGAGTGCGGAGCACGGGCTGACCAGGAACAGCTGCCCAGGAGAGGCAGAGCACCCGCCCAGGTCAATATTCTGCCTCCACCAGCAGCTGCAAGTAGACACCCAGGGAAAGCAAGAACAGTAACATATGGTACTTCCCTAAGTACCACCATTCAAATTCACATGTTTAAATAAGGAAAATGATGACTAATGAGGCCACCAGAAATCTTTCATGGTTTATGAAAACAACACTGTCTAGAAATTTGTCTGACAAAGTACGTAGTCAAGGCACACTTTGTAAAAACTCAAAATGTGATTTTCTAAAGTTCCTAACGCTGCCATCGCAGCTGCCAGTGCTGAATGAAATTCAGCAATATTACAGGAGAGCAGCGTATTGGACTGCCAGTTACAGAACTAGCAAACTTAAATCCTGATAATGCAAATAGATCAATGAAGTTTTTTCCCACGTAAGTCAAATTGACAACTGGGACCAAAGCTGAAAAAAAAAAAAGTTGCCCAGGCAACAGTTCTCTTATCCAAAAATGTATTTGTCTTTGGACACAGGCTTAAGAAAGAATTGGAAAACTACAAAGATGATGATTGGGAAAGTATCTGTGAGACTCTTCGAACAGAAATTGAAATTCTGCAAATGGTATGCTATTTTCATTATGTTTTTTAAGTGTTTGATAATTTTAACATGATGCAGTGGTTTTCAGTTAGTAGGGTTTTATACCATGTACACAGCCAAACATCCTTGCTCTGAAAGTGCACTCCAATTCACATTTGGTTTAGCCTGTTCCAAATGTCCAGGAATATAATTTCTCACAGAAAAAGGAAACACAGAAAAGAATTTAAAGATAAAGTTTTGGCATCAGGAAGACTTATTTGGGGACTAGGAGTAATCATTATTTTCTTGAAAGCTTGAAAAGATTATGCCTTTCAGAGCAAAATTAATCTGTACCAGGAGCTGTCAATTAAATGGAAGATGGGAATATGGAAAAACATACAGCATCCTTTTATGCAATATTTTATTTTGTCCACTCACAAATTCTTTACAAAAACTTATTAATGTATGTTTTTTCTCTAGATGTCAAGCCCATATTTCTTGATTGTCAGTGTGTGTAACAATACAAAGAGAAAAAATATTTTGAAGTCTTATTTTTTTGAAATAAAAGAAGTTTAAAAGTTCATTTCAGAGCTACTGATTGAGCTGTATGAATAGGCAGCTGCTACAAGCATCAACAGCAGAATAACAGTCATGGGAAATTTGTATTATTTTTATGATCAGTTTCAAATTCCTGTTGGAGGAATGTAACTTATGTGGACTTTATCCATTAATTTTATCATGCTTGTTGAACTTCAGAGACAAAAACAACTGCTCAATGTTTAAAAACTTCTCTGTAAAGAACAAACTGACCTCATTAGATTTCGTTTTGTGTAATTCAGTTCTTTCTCTTTTCCAGAACCTATCACAGAAAAAGTCTTCTGACAAGTGAATAATATATTGATATGATATGGAGTCTCATAGAAGCTAGTTTTTGAGTATTTTAAAGCCATTTCACTTGAGGTCTATCGGGTTTGTTTCTATTTTTTTTTTGTTTGGTTAAAACAAAGTTTATATCTGCCTTCACTTTTCATTAAAATAAAATTTCGTTCATTCAGAAGTGGTGGAGGTTTTGTGCTTTATCCTCAAGTTTAAGAGCTATCCATCTTTAGTTTCCTCCTTATTGGCCATGAATGGATAGTCCACTACACATACAGATGAGTTCCTATATTATGGCTTTATTCTCTATTTTTTAGAGCAAACTCTTTCCTATTTTTAAGGTAGTGATGTGGTCCTATTGGAAAGGAAGCCTGCTATTACCATTAAAAATTACTTAACAGGAGCAATGGCTATTCCATATGCAATTCCATAACAAACTGTCCAGAATACTTTACAAATCTACTGATAAGTACGAGCCTCCATTGATGGTAAACCAGTGCATTACTTTGCACTTGTCTTCTGATTATGAGACATCTTCTTTCTTCTTCTCTCGTAACCCTCAGAATACCAAGAGCTAGCTTCAGCACTCAGCAGCAAAGATAAAACCGCATTCTAAATGGAATTAGTGAAGAATTTCCATTGAATGAGGAACCCTATTCATGAGGACATACAACTGCTACATCAGTTCCCAACACCACAGTAGGAACTGCCTTTATGATTCAGCTGCTTATAATAAGACCATATAAAAACCTTCACTCTGCGCAGCCACAGTCCACTCTGTCGTCATCACCTCATCACCTGCTTCCCACTTGGGGGGTGGGATGGATAATTGGACTTCACTCATTTTTCTACAGCCCGAGCTATCCAAGCTACAAGGGTGTCTATCACATATAAAACTGTAAAAGATGTTTTATTAAGAAGGAAGGAATAAATCACTTTTGGAAGCTGATCAAATTCTGCCTGCAAAGGCAGAAGTTTCCTTTTGGGACACAGTTGCAGTTTGAAGTCTGGCCAGGTTTGATCTGCAGCACTGGTTTCAAAGAGTATTCTGATCCACTGGGTTAACTAGGATAATTCTAGGAATACCATTCATAATAACCAGTGCTCTTGGAGCTGACATACTTATAATGTAGTTTTTTGTCTTTTCCCTAAGAGAGATCCTCTTCGGATGTTCTTAATTTCAAACTTAGTCCCTCTGGCTTCTGTGGGACCATCTGACTCCTTTATAATAGTCAGACACTACTGGTTGTGGGTTTTGATCAAATCCAGGGCATGTTGCAGAATGCTATAGTTCCATATCAGAATGTGTACAGACACCTAAAGCAGTGCTATTTCTGCATTTAATTGCTGAAACCAGATATAAATTTGGGATTTGCTAGGATGGCTGAGTTTATCCTGGTCATTTTATTCATTTAAAAGAACTTGCATAGGTTAAGCGTATTGGTTAATCAACCAGGAAAAATTTAGCTTTAAACTTCATGTCTATCCACTTATGGTTGCTTTTATTTACAAGAATCCTTGCATCTCTTTTGCAATGGTCTCATATTTATATAGTTGTTCGGTCCATATAGATTAAATACTCAGATATGATATGAAGCAGAACTCATTGGCTTATATCAGCATTCTACATATACATTTCAGGTTAGTGGAATGAGCAATAGCATCCAATAACTATAAATTAATAATATAAATTGATGTTCCTAAGTCACCTGACAAAACATTTGGGTAAAAGAAATACGGCAATAGTTTTTCAGAGATAGAAAACTAGTTGCAAGTTCAGGTTTGGGCTTTTGTGTTTCTTTGTTGGGGGGTGTTTTGTTTTTAATAGCTGTGAAGGTCTAAGGTCTTGATTATTGTAGTAGAATTACAGCATAAATATAGCAAAATTTGTAATAACTCAAACAGCTAAAGCTCCCGGAATCAATATAACAACAAAACAAGAATAAAGCTCACCAAAAAAGTGAAACAGAAATCAATACAAATCCTATTGGGCTAAAGAAATCCCTCAACAGCTCTGAAAAAAATATAATGCCAGACCAAACCAGCTGTTCCAGGGTGAATATAAAACATACTGATTTCTCCAAGCATAAAAATACATTTGTCGCCACTATCTTATGAATAATGTAACTTGGAACAAATGTAATATTTATGTTTGGAAGAATCAAACAAAAAATTAAGCAAAAGTTTGTGTTTTGTGGATTTTTCTTTACAATTCTCAAACCAGTGATGAGTAATCTTAAATAATGAGTGCAAAAGAAACAAATATTTTGCCATGTTTAATAAACACATTAGAGAATATTGCCAAATTGCCATGAAAATACACTGAGTTATTACGAATAAATAAATTATTTCACAGATGACATACTAAGAGTATTTTTTGAAGGATAGATTATAGATTATTTATTATATAATCTGTCCTTGCATATCATACCCTAGCATACACCTAGCATATGAGAATCTAACAGAACCTCTGAGGCTAGAGGAAGTAGTTTTCCCTTTTTATGACAAAAAAATGATGAATTGGAGCCATAGATATATCTGAAGAAATTAGTAAGAAAGAGCAAATTAGGCCAAAAAAAAAAAAAGGTTATCATTGCAGACAAGAAGAAGGCATAGGGAAAACTAGCCATGCTTCGGTTAGCTCTGTCAGTTAGAGCTTGGTGCTGATAACACCAAGGCCACAGGTTCGATCCCCGCTCGGTCCCCATGGGTTGCCTGATCTAGTTGAGAGGCGTCCCTGCCCATGACAGGGAGGTTGGATCAAACGATCTCTAGGGTCCCTTCCAGCCTAGGCCATTCTATGATTCTATGATTCTGTATTGGACCTGGGAACAGTTGCTTTTTAGGCTCAGCAGATAAAAACTCCCTCATTTTTGAAGAGGGACAGAGAAACACTTTAGATCACCGAATTTACCCAGTAAGGGTCAAGATCTGACAAGTGTCATCTCCTCCATCCTTCACAAAAGACTTGATGAATTGCTCTTTTAGCTCAGGCTTTCACACTGACACCACAGCGCCTCTCCTCTGCTGTGACCACATACTAAGTACATGGCTCAGCAGCCCAATTTTTTTATGCCCAAATCACAGCTCCTAGCCATGCTTTGCAAAAAACACCCACCAGTAGCAGCCTAAAGCACACAGATTATTGCAAAGGAAAATCAAGGATTCATCTGAAAAAGTCTAACAGGAAAATACTTAAGCTAAGCCATGGACCTGGGAGGGCTTGGGGAAAAAAATCATTGAACTTTCAAAAAGATTTTACTGACCAGGGTGAGCCAAGGTCTGACCACAGAGGCCCAAAGAGAAGTCTGCTAAACCCTGATTTTGCAAGATTATTGGTTTACAAATCAATCTTAATGACTTTGGAGGTTGAGAGAGGACAACCAAAGGCAAGGAGCCAAAGAAACCGGGAGGTATGCTAAACCAAAGCCATGGTCAGAGGCCATGCTTGGGAGCAGAAGACCCAAGAACCTCCACAGCAAAGAAGCTAGCAGGCAGAGCACAAACCACAGTGAAGATGTGACTTAACTATTTAAAAAGTGCCCCTGTGACTTAATGTTTCTTGTCCATATGTATACACCTACCCTTGAAGCAAGAAACAGTTACAAATGGGAGGAAAAAATAAAAAGGGAATCAAAATGCAATTATTTTGTTTAATAGAAAAAGGAGTTAAGCTACCAGATTATCATGCTATTTTTACAGCCAATTCAAAGACTAGCATCAACACCTCTACAATGTCTGACCACAGAATAAAATTACAGTCAACTAATGCAACAGTAACCACACAAATTACCTCTAATAGGCTGACATAAATATGATTGAATTGGTGATAGAATACTGCCAAAAAAAAAAAAAAAAGAAAACTGTATCTGTAACTCAATGACACATTGAGGCAGTGAAAAATAAAAATCCAGTGTGTGACATGGGGCAAAATATCAATTGAGGTCAGACATCCCTGTTCATCTGATTTAGTTTATGGGGTTATCAGTCGTGAAGGAAACTGACAATCTCCAGCGACAGCGCTGGTTGCCTATGTAGAGCTTGACATTTGGCAGTTGATTAGTCTAGAAAAATTAGACTCCAAGGGAAAGGAATATTTGGTTTTAAACCCTGTGGCTGAATTACATGTATAGATCAAGAAGTGATAGAAAAAGTACCAGCAAGGCCTACCCTTTCCACAAAGGTGGGGTACCTGAGAGCACAGACCCTATCAGAATGGTACCAGGGGAAGACACAAAAGAGAAGACATGTTCCAGTACTGTCTCCCTGGTTAAGGATCCTTGCCTGACCAGCACCGCTACCTCTCTCTAACACATTCTGCTTGTCCTTCAACAGGATCTGCTTTTGGATCTACTAAGAGGATGAAGAGTAATGGCTTTAAACTCAAAGAGAGTAGATTTAGACAGGATAGAAGGAAGAAAATTTTTACAATGAGGGTGGTGAAACACTGGAACAGGTTACCCAGAGAGGTGGTAGATACTCCATCCCTGGAAACATTCAGCATTGGGATGGATGGGACTTTGGGCAACCTGGTCTGGGGGAAGACATCCCTGCACTGCAGGGAACTAGAATGATCCTTAAAGGTCTCTTCCAGCCCAAACCATTCTATGATTCACTACATTTCTGCTGTACATTCAATCAAATATAGAGTGTTAGAACTTGCTATATAACGGGGTTAAATACATTAGAATTTTGAAGAGCTCTGTGTGTACATATGTGTGTGTACATATCTCTTTGGGTACTTCCTGCTCTAATTGATACCATAGTATCAAGTCAGGATAAATTTGGATGAAACAATGGGGATCTCTCGATGTTGTCATGCTGGTCCAAGCAAACTCATGCTAAGTCATTACGCTAGCTCAAATGTAGACTGGCTTACCACAGTTTTTTTAGGAGTTTGTAACACAAGAAAGGATTTTGCCATCGAAGTAATAAATAGGGACATGTCTTGAAACTTTTAGTAAGAGACAACACCTCCAGGTGATTTCCAGGAAAAAGATAACAGGTTTAGTA